CTGATGAGTACCAATTCCTTTGCTTCCAGATCAGGACACAATAGAGATATGTCATTGTTTTGTTAGTATATTCGAATGAAAACCTTTAGGGGCACCCTCCAAACATAATGGCAGGAACAATGGGTTGAGGAGCAAGGGGAGATGGAGTAGGAGGAGTTCCATTTAGGCTGAAATGACACAGGGGCTGCATGTTGGAGCACATGGGGCTGCCTCCAGAAGGGAAGGGGCTCACATCAAGTTTGGAATGTAGCATTAAAGGAAGGCCTGTGCAGTAACTGGCTCTAGAAATCAGAGGTTCAAGATCATCTGGACTTCTCAGAAAACTAGAACTTTCTACAAAGACCACTAATAGTGAAATATTACTTCTATTATGGTATGCACCTCAGGTGTTTTGTGTGTGTGTGTGTATGTGTGGGAGAGAGAGAGAGAGAGAGAGAGAGAGAGAGAGAGAGAGAGAGAACCACAGAGATAAAAGATGAAGAGACAAGAAATTTTACTTTCCTGGAACGAAAAATTTGATGATTTTTTTAAGTAAGTTTTCTTTATTATTTCCCTTCTTTAACACTCTGATCTTAGCAACTCAAGAATCCCTATTTTTAGGGTTTGGGAAGATAGAGAAAAAGGGTTTGCTCTTGTTTCCTGCCCTGCCTAAAGGCTGAAGCTGCTGCTAACAAACTTCTGTCCAACCCAGGCCAGTTATCACACAGAGCTAGGTCTCCAGGTGCAAACAATACACAATTCCCATCCATTCTACTGCAAGTAACGGAAATGAAATGAATAAATGGAAGCCATCAGGGAAATCTGTCACACCAGGATGTAGTGCTCAGGTGTGACACTCAGGTCCCACTGCATGGCAGGGGGAGAGCAGAAAGAAGGGAGCCACTGGCTGTGTCATGGGAACACCTGCTTTTGTCTCAGCATTGAGGAGGACGCTCCCAGCTACCTATCACTGCGGTTCACAGACTTACACGGAGATTCTTTCTGCTCTAGTGCGTCCTCCTCTGTGGCCAAGCTCCAGGACAGGAACTGAGCTGAGGTGAGTTTTTTTCAGGCCAAAAAAATCTCAAGACACGTCCCAATTAGTGGTTAAGGGCCAGGAGGTGGGGCTTTATATTAGCAGGATGTTTGGACAGAGTTGAGGATGTTGAAGGTAGGAGTCAACGATTCCCAAGGTTCTTTCTTAAAATACACTGTTTGGCTGCACGGCTCCTGACTCACTCCCGGGCCGGCATTCTATCTTGGGATGACTATGTTCTCAAGAGTGCCTGGGGAGCCCAGCTCATTCCCCACCTACAGTATCCACAGAAACATCTGCTTTAGCTTATTAGAAAGTCAAAACAACCAACTGTCAATCCGTCATTTCTTCCACTTAAGGACACATTCCTGTTGGCTGATGCATGTGCCTCCCCAAGGGTTCACCTCTGGACTGTCTGTGTGTGTCTGTGAAACTGTGAACTGATTTTAATGATAATTTGAAGAGCCTTTTACACCCTAGTTTATTTAACCTCCTCACACAAATAGCAAGACTTCTCTTTGGGGAATCATGGAATGACTACTGACTCATTAGATAAGCAGTGAGCCCTGGAAACAGGAAGCAGAAAATGGGCTCTCAAAGCCAATTTCATTCCCTTCTCTTGTCATCCACAGGTAACCCAGCAGTGTAGAAAGCAGTCGGGACTCAGAATCAACAGATCCAGGTTCAACTTGCAGTCCTGCCAGGTACTGTGTGACCCAAGCTGGGTATCTTGGTCTCTCAGAGTCACAGTTTCCTCTTCCACAAAATGGGAATAATAATACCTACCCTGCCAGCCACACAGGGTTCTTGAGGTCAGGATAGAAAAAGGGGGTGAGAAGTCATGTTAAAGAGCACCTGAAGCCTGAATTCACTCATAGTTTCACCATCAATGAGCCATGCGACCTATCCTTGAACTCTTGCTGTGACAGAGCCCAGTGCATTATGGGATAGCTCTGATTTATTTTGTGCTTCAAATTGCCTCCTTTGGCATTCCACCAACCGGTTCTTCTCCAAGTAAATATACCAAAACAAGTCCATTCCTTTTCTGGAAGAATAGCTTTCGGATGTCTAGAGGTAGTACTGCGTCCTGATATGGACAGAGCAGTCTCTGAGTCTTTACTAGGCTAAACCTTTGATTCCCTTAACTATCATGGTTATTGTTCTCCAAAGATGCTTTAGGTAATTTATGACTCAGTGTATCTTGTCAAGAACTGACTCTGGTATTCAGGATGGTATGAAGGGGGGAGAATGAGCTGCAGCACTTACCTCCCTCGTTCTGGATGCTATGCCTCTATTAATGCAGCTGACCCCTGAATTAGCTTCTTGGTGGTCACATTCCAATAGCAGCACTTCCTCCATAATCTCAACTGCAAACACCTGACTTTTTGATCACCACCTCCTTTCTTTCCGGCTCATTTCATCAAATACTCAACTCAACAATTTTCAGACCTCACCAGTACTTACTGTACATTGTTTCTACAACCTTTTCACTGTCCCTTACCTCTTTCCTCCACCATGTCCTTATATCCCTTCTTATTCAGCTTTGACCTCATGACATATTATGATTATTCCCTTGAGTACTCTCTCAACTACCTTCTCTTTCCCTTTCTCTCTTGCCTGGCAAAATCCCAACCCTGATTATACCCTACTCTCTGCCTATTCCTGCCCTGCACCCTGGCTAGAGAAAACACAGAAACAGGTTAACTGACCCACCTCAAGGGGACCCAAAGAGCTGCCCAGCGATCGTGCTCTAGCTCTCTAGTCTGAAATTGTCCCACTGACCTAGATAACTAGGCCACACCTCTTCCATCCTTAAACCTTCCCCATCCTCACATCCTCACTCTCTGCTGATGACCTTGTCTTCAACCTGATGGGACCCCCACATGCTCCCACCACTACCTCTACCCACCAGCCAGCTGCAGCCAGCACTCTGCCTTCTGTCTCTCCCTGTGGATGGCTCTCTGTCCTCCTAAGACTAAACTCTCCAGGTGTGCACTAGATCCTTGCTGCTCTTGCGTACTTAAAAACTTTTGCCCTCCACCCCACACTCCATCACTAATTTCCTCTTTTCTGCAGGATCATTCCCATCCCATATAACCACAATATTAAGACAAAACACAACAACAACAACAACAACAACATCAAAACACTCTTTTCTTATCCTCAGATAAGGAAAACAGATAAGGCGACCCAGAAAAGTTCAGCAATCTGCCCAAGGTCACAGACCCAGAAAGTGGTGGGGTCAAGGTCAAATACAGTGTGTTAACCTCCAAAGCCCACCCAGATGAGACTTCCTGAGCTGCAGAAGCCAGAGCCACTCTTTCTCCAGCCCCCTACTCTGCTTTGAGCAGCTGAGCTCGGGCAAAGGAGCACTTTGCCAAGGACCAGCAGGCCAGCTCTGCTGTAACCTGTGCACTTTTGGGACAGC